TATATAATTCCTATTATTCTCAAGATGATCTCCGGAGTCTCTTTCCGCACAGAACTCCAAGATATGTATGTACAAAGCCTAAATTGGAGCTGAAGAAAATTATTGAAACTGATTCAATTAAATACCGACCACTTCCGGTTAAAATGGCAGTATGTCTGCATTCTGTCATATGATACAAATACAGGACAGTTCAGACTTCATCTCAACAGCAAAGAACTGTTAAGCATGACAATGGCAAAGCTGTAGTCCCGATCCTTATAACAGAGAGTTTTTATCAATGTTCGTTTAATATTTTGATCTATTTAATTACATGGCACTGGGATCGTGGAACTGTTTACAGTACGCATGTTTGCACCATTTTACTTGAAAACTTCGCCAAACCACGAAAAATAGTTTGTCGTTCGTATAATATATTTGTATTGAAAAACTGAAATGCGAATTTCACTGTTATGTTGTATTCATGATCCCAATACAATGGAGCATTTTTTTAATTGCACAAATTTCAAACGATAATAAAAATCCGATTCAGCAGTGATGATGTAAAGGTGATTATCGGCCATGATGATTACAAACACTAACAAACAACTCAACAACATGATTTAAAATATTTTGTCATTTTAATTTTGTCTGTCAATTGTATAACTGTCAAATTGTATATGGACAAACAAATTAGGAGTGCTGAGAAATATATTAACGACATTCAACATAACACATAATCTTCATGCAGTTTGAAGCTTCAAACGTTTGAAGACAAATCTTACAACTGCTGTTCAAGGTCGTTTTAGTAACAATGGATTACATAATTGAAATAACAGAAAATAACACAATAGCGTTATTTATCGAACTGACCAGCGGTCAAATAATTCTGTCCGCATTTACTAGAAATGTGGCCGGTACGTATAATACTGTGTAGGTTTAAGCCTATTTTATACTCAATGTTGAAAGACTTTTAACTGAGGAGAGACATGTAATTTTATTATTTATCAATTGATTCATTCCATATGATGTCATGAATCAAAGTTTCATAATTTATGGTAATTGTTTCGTTTAAAAATATGATCTATTGAGGAAATAGAAATTATCAAAGTTACAGAAAAACTTCATATAATAGTTCTTGAACTTTCAATCTATTATGCTCAAAGTGGAAACTCTTTATATGGAACTGTGTTAATCAAAAAGCCTTCCACGAAGGTATGACTATCGCTTTCTATAAATGGCATTCACATTCCAATTTCGGATGAAACATTTATTCTTTATAGTCATTCATTTTTTTCTATGATTAAATTAATCACTTTTTAATTTTGAATAATGCTCTAAGTCAAAAGATTGCACTCTTAATGCTGACAAAGTGTTCAGTTGTGCATTTCTACTTTTAAATAGCATGCCGAAAGCGGGAAAATAAATTTGAAAATACTTTGACACTAGGTACCTACAAGCACATATAGTTTGTTGAACATTCTATATTTGTATGCAAATGGCGCTGTTTTCATTATAAATGTTTAAAAAAAAACTTGCCGTCACGTGCAGTGGTTCGTCTTATCCTGTTCTAAAACCCATTGCTAAAAGAACGCCTTTTTCAATATAATTATGAAATACGTATATATCTTACTAAAAATATCACCACATTCAATAATTACTGAAGTATTGCAAAAATTACCAAAACCTACCGGTGGAAAATGACAATTCAGTTTTGATTTATGACCAAACTATAATGTCTTAAGACACTGGCGCAAGTGCGGTTGCTTTCGTTCTGAAAACAGATCTTTCCTTCAAATGACGCCCAAATTCTCGCTCTTATCCACTCACGAAAAATTCTCATCTCACTTCTCATCTTTCCCAGTTCTCACAAACAATAACAGTTTTCCTTCTTGGCTTCCCTGTCAGTTTTGTCCTTACTGCAACAGCTATATCATAACACGAAAAAGACAAGCTTGTCCTATTTCAGCAAGAATATATTTCAAAAGTGCCAAAGGCAGCAAACTAAGTACCAAGTTTGATTTGCAGCTAGATATTGCAAAACCAGATAGACTTTTTAAGCTTCATATCTAGATGTGATGGTTTACTCTGGTCATCAAACGTAATAAATGATTTTTGACATTTTCACGATTTTCAACAAAAACTAAGATATTTCGTTGATCATCAACCCAATAAAAGACAAAAGAAACTAATTTGAAAAAGGTAAGATTTTTTGATTTATTAAAAGGATCCATGATAGATTTTCACACAAACAAAGACGTTATTACGTCAGAAAAGTTAGTCACTGTGACTTTGTGTGTAAAAAAGCATCTTTGATAGGACAAAATATCAATAAAATAGGCCACACCGACCTAGTTGTGTTTGGCACCAGAGCTAATTTACAATATACATGGATTTACACATATACTTATAATACATGTGCTGTATGGACAAAATTGACACGGTACTCGCCAAAATACCAAAATCTCGATCCATATTTCAAGATATGATACAAAGCCTTCCATTTTCAACCTCCGAGAATAATTGCATTTTGAATTGGACATTTGTACAATGTACGAATGTATTATATTGCACCATAAAAATTCGATCATGACTTTATGAAACAAAATGTATTCTCCACAACATCGAAGGAATCCCTATCAGGCCGATAAAAAATATAACAAAGTTGGCATGATATTCCAACAATAATAAAATTACTTTCGATTATTAACTTTCACCTTTGGTATTTCAACTTTCTGAAGTCACATATCTTCTGATATCACAAACATTCTGACTGAACAAAAATAAAATCCAGGGAGGCAGGTTTAAAAGCCTGTATGCCACATCATTCAACATTGTGGGGGATACATCTTCCAGAGTCATAATCAACACAAAGTTTGTATCTACTGGAACAACCCGACATTTCATGAAAATGAAATTTTTCGGTAATACAACATATGACAAAACCTGACCGCCATTTTGACATAACTGTAATTGGTCCACAATATTTGACAGTCAGTGAAAGAATCAACAGGAACAATGTAGAGAGAACTCCTGTCAACAAATATAAAACGGGAAGTTAACAGACGGTTGGCGCGCAGGACAGGAAGTGACGACATCAGAGACACTTCTTCCGAAACTGTTGATAGTTTCAGCGTTGTAGTAGGTTAAACGGGTTTCAAGCTATAATTTAAAAAATAAAATTATTCTCATAAAAACGATCACACGTATTGTATATAGAGGGACCAAACAACGCTGACCGGGAAACGACATAGCGACGATATCTCGGGAAACGACATAGCGACGATATCTCGGGAAACGACATAGCGACGATATCTTTAAGAAACAATATTGTTTCAAAGTCTACGTAAAGTGGTTAGATCGAGACGAAAATTTGTTAATTCATTACGAACAAAAGTAGATTATGCTTTATAGACGGAACTTTTCACAACAGGATATGACGCATATTATTTCATCTGTACCGGAACTGGAAGTCGATATCAGAATCAACGTGTAATTTGCTGGCGTTGTGCCAAACTCGTTTTATGATATATGCTTGAAGCAAAAAGAAAACCAAATATATAAATACCAGTGTAAACTTACTTATATTCGACGTTGAAAAAAAATGTGTTCATTTTTTTCTGAAATACATAAAAGTACTTCGAACTCGATTTGGAAGCGAAAATATAACGGAAAATACCAACATAGCACCAATAGAAAGGAGGAATTGTGTGATTTCACTAAGTAGGCGAAATCAGTTAAGTTCATTGTAGTTTAGGGACCATTTAATTCACTTACGACAACTCCGCATTTGAATAAAAATAATGTAAAATGGAAATTAATTGTGTTCAATTGTTATTGGACACAAGTTCACGAAACAATGACAGATTTGTCAGATCATAATATTGTTCAATTATATACATTTATAAGAGATTGGCAATGAAATGGGCATTCGTCTGAGAATCAGATGTATGAGAAAATGATTTACGAGATGAAAACAAATGCGATTATCAAAATGAACAACACTTATGATCGTATCAATTAGTGACAAAGCCAGTGAGTGAATATTAATGATAAAATAATCATGTCTTCAGTTCAAAAAATGAGTATCATGCAAAATTATGGAGCTCTAAACGTCATTCTAAACGTGACTTGGACTATGACGTCATTCATGGCATGCATCATCACAGGTGCTTTTTGAACTGGAATTTCTTAAGTAGTCAATGAGGAAGTGTTGATCGTGAAAGTCCTATAGGCGTCCAATGCCAAATTAAACAAAGGTTTGGTTTGAAGATTATAATTTCTTTATCTAATTTTCAAAAGCTGGAAAATGATAGTATTTGTTTTATTGGAGTTATAGAAATGGAAAAGATATTTATTTTCAACATGTTCATAAAAAACCCACAGAAAACGAAAACGAAAACAAAACAATAACAATAAAAAAATGCTTTGGACTTTATAGCACCGCAAATGCTGTTTTCTAGGATCAACATTCCTCATCGATTCTTTCGTTAAGTAACATTTTTGGATAAGAATTTAATCACAGACTACAACATTGTGTTTGAAATGCTTCAATAAACATTTCGTACTCATTTGTTGTGTTGGTTTATACCTGATAAATTCGAATAAATTACAAATAAATAACTATAAATAAACACCGACTGGTCACCACAAGTTTTTGGGGAAGAGAACGAGACAGATTGCGACAATAAAATGATGATGTCACCGCTTATTGTTTATGACGTAAACAATACATGAGCATAATAATTGGACAGGATTAAGTGTCGCCATAGAATTCTTCCAATGTTGAACATACCATCCAATTATATCTGCTCGAAAATATCTAGTATTTTCTCTGCTTACTTCTAACTTTCGATTGAACGACGTGTCGCCCGGATGTGACGTAATTACAAGAACGATCACATTATCGAGAAGTTTTGTGTTCGACGTTCTTAACGCCGCCCGAAGTAGCACCTTTCATTAATGGTCAGTCCACAGTGAGAACTGACCAGCAGGCTAGGTCCAAGGAAGCTCTAGAGCAGATTTCATGTTGGATGGCGTCGATGTCGTCGATGTCGTCGTCGTGCCCGCCTTCTATTTCTACTCGACCCTAGATTACATCTCTCGGCTATTTTTCTTGAGCGATTTTTCTCTCGTCCAAGACGTTTGAAACAATGTCTTTTGCGAAATTGATTCAGTTCCCTCACGGATGTCGTAAAAAAGTTCCGAACCACTTTCCTACAGAATTTTAAATACGTCCGTTTGCACTTTGGTGGTGATATCCCTTCACAACTCCCTGAATTCTCCTCTGGTCGAAAGTCACCCATATTGAACAACAGATATTTTCTTAAAAGTCTTCTCTGTCTGCAGTCTTTAGCTACTATAGGTTTTCCGTCACAGTTTAACCCTACATAAAACGGCTTCTTATGGTGCCGTAGTCTTGATAGGCGAAACACTGTTTTATTAAATGTAGAGTCATTGCTCTGAATCCATTGTTCATTAAATTTGAAACTGCATTCCGTTTCAGTGAATGAATTCTACAACACAACAATAAAAGTCAAATTAATATACGCACACAGAAAAAAATCAAAGTGATGCATGTCATCTTCTCGGAAATGGAACGTAAGAGTAAAAATAAATTAATTCGGCATTGAATTTAAATATCTAAAAAAAAAATTATTCATCTTCAATAATTCAGCTGTAAAATATTAATTGGCATTAAGCGGCAAGAATTTTATAATTTCTGAGTCATTATTGGTGTGACGTCGTGACGTCAAAACTTACCGCTGGTGACGAATACAGTTGCCCCGACTCATTCATACAAAGGTAAAGCTGTGTCTCTGTGCCCTGTACAACTATCACCCTCTTGCTCTTGATAAAGTGTGGCATCGTTTTCAACATTGCTGAAAAAATCCATAAAAAATAAGAAAATGATAAAAAAGTGAAAAAGACAAAATAAACTTACATATTTCAATGTTTAATATCTTGTTTTGTACGATGTCAAACCTCCTTCGAAAGTAAGTCATAGTGAAAATCATTCTACCTAAACCTATACACTGTTAACGTTAACAGAGAAAACTGCCCCTACTACAAGAAAGTTTTAAGACGTGTATACAAGTCATAAAGCCGAGACACATTTGAACCAAGTCAAACCCCTAGGCTGTGATAACTTTATACATAAGTCAGCTTATACAGCTCTTATAAAGTTATATTAAATCTTCTCAGTGTGGAATGCAATTCGAATTGGTCGTCTCATACAGGGACATATATAATGTGTGTGTGGTTTAGAAGGACGAGTTTAACTGATAAATGGAGAGAGGGAAGAAGATAAAATAAGGGGAACTGAAGTGTTGATCTGTGACATAAGGAGATTGGAGACATGAATGAATGGAAAGAAAGCGAAAGACATTGAATCTTATAGGGGCAAGGAAGATTGAAAGAAAGGGAAAGAAAGGAATAAAAGAAAGGATAAAAAGGGAATGAAAGGCAATGACTTTGTAAGAATAGAATGACAGATTAATGAAAACATATAGGAATGGGAGAAATGAAGGATTCAATGAAGAAAGAAAGGAGAGAGTCAACAATAAACACAATATATGTTATGTTTGTAATGTCGCTATCTGTCCTTGCTACATAGCTATCTCTTTACACAACAAACGTAATGCTACTAAGGGCGGTACAAAACCTGATAAATCGTGTGCCATCTAAGGCACAAAGTGCAACTTCTAATTGATATAAACCGGCCACATTATTTAGAAATGTCAAGTCCATTAGAAATCAATAATATGTGAAAATTATCAGTAACAAGTGTGATATACTAATAAAAATGTGTTAGATATTATATGATGTAAATCACTTTCATTTTCTAATAATGATTTGATATATGGGACGGATTTTTCAGGTCAGCACATATTCGGTTGATAAATCAATCCGAACTGAGAAATAACATAGCATGCTGCTAAAACCTATAGAATACAAAATAATATATGTGTGTGATATACGACCTATCTGTATATTATGTAGAACTGGGTGTCTGACTGGAAAGTGATGGGGCTAACTACTGGTACCACTTTCTATTAATTAACAAATCAATTCGCGTTCTGTCCTGCAATACTGAGCACTTGACCTTCGACCTCTGTCCGCCAGGTAAAGTATATGAGTGTGTACAACTATGTGACTAGCAAGAGTACCTTACTGATAGTCTGCCGCCCCTTTAACAAGGTCGGATTCACGTCGTGAAATTAAGACACTTCACAAGGATACGAGTATTAAAAAAAAGCCCAAAAAACGCTTTTTCACGCTCTCTAATTTTATACCCTAAAAACATGACCTTAGCGTGAAATAAAGGCTGGAATACTGCTGTGAGGTTTTCTGTAAGAAACCATCACCAGGTGCTAATACTCGAACTATAGTTGTCTTCAGTAAATCAATTGACAGTTTTTTTTAAAGAAAAATTATGAAGATATATAGACATTGCACCCATTCACCGATCAGGACCATGAGAAAACAGTTGGTGCAAGATGGCCTTGGACTGAAATCTACAGGGCATACTTCAAAGGATATCGTATCTGAGAAGGGTGTGTGTGGGGGAGGAACGGCAGAAGGATGGGAAAGGGTTCTACACCAATTGCAGCCGAAGAGAAAAAACAACGTCGCTAAGGTCCTCATTTTATCGTTTATATTCATAAAGTCAAACTTTAGGTTGCAAAGCAGAAAAAACACGGTTTTGGCTGTTACCTTTCACTTCAACTCGTGAATTTCATATTAAACTAATTAAAAAAAAATACATTTATATATGTATATAAATTGGAATGATGTATTACAAAATCTATACATTTCTAGAAAATAAAAAAATACACACACAGTTATAATATCTTTTGTATACTGAAGTTAGAAGCAAAACCTGCATTCAAACTTAGAACGCAATCAAACTTTCATGATTGATTTACAAAGACTCGCAGTCTCTACTGTGTAATTGTACAATATAGTAACTATATAACTGTATCCTGGTGGTCGTAAAGAGCCGTTTTTCATTCGAAGTACAAATATTGTTTAATATAAATAGGAGGGGCAATAAGAGTAATACCCTACGTATAACCGAATCAGCAGTTGATTTCTGAAGTACATCTGTATGTAGTCAAATTCCTGGATTTTTAACTCTAATCTGGATGATATGGAAAGCAAGATTTCATAAGAAAAAACTGAAGATAAGAGAATACGCCGTTTTTGTTCTTTTGAGGGTGATAATCAGTAAAAAAGATGGTACTTCATGCAAAAATATGTTTCAAGATTTTTGGAACAAAAATTTAAAGTTGAAAGAGAGTACTGTTTTGAAATATCGAGAACGCCATTAAATACGTCTGATATTAACTAAGCATCAGATTTTACCTTAAATTGTACCTAATTTCGTAACAAATGAATAAATGTATTTACCATATTTAGACGATCGACACTTGGTACCGCTGATGGCTCCATCAGGTGTTATCTGTAAAAGCATGACGTCATTTATTGCGATGAAAACCGATCCATTATCTATGGGAAGTTCCCAGGGAAGGCGTTCATTCTTCAGAGCTTCGCGAGCGTCCGGGTGTCCGCTGTTCGAATACGACATACTGGTTCCGGTGGGCAGTTGTGAAAGCAGGCACAAGAGTACTAAAGCTAAAGTCGTGAAGTGGTCTACTCCGGGGATAGACTGTGAAACATGCGTGGTCATTGCTCAAAACACACCAGGGGACACCGCCTTGCACACGCACGTGCATTTAACTGAGTGGTTGGGGAACACGTGTTGTAAAATCTAAAATAATACATGCACATCCACTTGATGAAGATCATTTGAAATTCACAAAATTCTCTCGTGATGAATTATCTAATATCTTGTAGTCTATCACTAAAGCTGGATTTCTCCTCAAAATAATAAAATTCACAAATTCTTCACCACTTTATATATATGTATATATATATATGTAAATCCAATTGAATTATAATAAAATGGTCACATGGTATTCCGTCATGAACTGTAGCACGGGAGCCTATGAAATAATTCCAACATTTCCAGGTTCAGTGACTGGTTCCATAAACGTAACGTAAAATCCAGAGTACGTAATTCATGCTGCCAGAGCACGCACTGTAGCTGTAACAAAGGAGGAAAAACAATTAACATCACGGCTGGTCGGTTGCACAATATCAGTAAAAAAACATGTGCAAATGACACAATTACTTAAATACGATTTTACTTAAGTCACGACAAGGTCATTAACACCTAAATTCTTTTCACTTAAATTACATATTCTAATGATTATTATACACATATATCTGTCGGCATTAAATATATCAAAGTAAAACTATAAATAACATACACCTATTCTGGGTGTCAACGTGGAAAATTCCTATTTTCTTATGTAATGTAAAAATAGATTACATCTTACAATTTTGCCCGTGTACATACTTGATAAATTAAACAGCTACTGTATACAGGTATACATATTAACCTTAAACTAAGTAAAAATCCTAGGATACAAGTAACAGCTGATAACTACATGTAATCTCAGCGTAAGCCATTAAAAATTACTCTGTGCGTACTTCACCTAGCCATGCATGCCCGTCGGTCGATGCAAATTGTTGATGAAACTGACATCACGGTAGTAGTATTACACGCCTAGAACGATGTACATTTCTAACTCGCCCGAACTCGTGGAGGTTCTTTGTTATTTTCCGTTTTTTGGTGTATTTAAAACTCACGAACAAGTTCAGACGGGGTATCCATTGTTAGCTGAATGGCATACATAGTGGTATTTGTCATCTTTATCTGTGCTAAGATCCTCACCGCCTTTCAGGCCGATACAAATGACTATGTAGAGAGAGCAAGGTTCTAAGTTATGTCTAACGGAAAAAAATAAAACCGTTTAAAAACCATGCTTCGAGCTATAGCCTGTTTGTGATGTTTTCTTGGCAAAATATCGCTTCATGATGCTTAAGGTAACGACAAATGTAGATGTTAAATATGTTTTCTTTTTAAAATAATTCCAAATCTTACATGCGACTAAAAGTTTAAAACACTCATGATTTTATCATAATATTCCATACCTGTAAAGTAAAGCTGTCAATCAAATTCCCAAATTAACGTTCTAACTGACAACATGCCACGTGCTCAAAATCAATTAATGATTATCAATTAGCATATATCAATTTCATTGGCAAAACTTTATCACTGCTGAAATCTTATCCGAGATTAACATTAAGGGAAATTAAAAGAATTTGCAGGTATATAAAAAATCTTCCCAGGTAAAATAACTAGATACAAATGATGTTAACGATCCTGTATTTCAAGGTAAATAATACGATATGCCATGATAAATAGCTACATGAAATAGTTAATGGTGCCCCGTGGGAGTTATGGATTATGTAATAAAAAGATATGTTTTTTCTTTGACCGACAATATATTCGTTACATATCTATGCAGTTTTTGATCAATACCAAACCTAACAGTTAATCATCAAAGAATGACAACCCATACACAACCATACCCATAGAGAGACGATTGGAACCGTCAGGTGAAAATTCCTGCCATGCAATACAAGTATTCTGATTGTAAAGTCAATTTTGTACAGGTAGGTAAAGTGAGTGAAAGGTGAGCCTGAATACACCTGTACGAACGTATAACGGTACCTGGAATACACAATGTACGTATATAATATATCTACAATGTACAGTATGTGTGTATACGGCGGTATCGACACCGCTGACACAATTGAACATGCACGATGTACAATTTAGCCTCCAAGAAAAGATGGACCTTTCCTTCATTCATCACATTTATCATACCCTTACTTGTATAATATCCACTAAGATTATTTTACTGACTTTTTTGTTATTCATGAGAGTTGAAATCAAGTTGTCTTCAATTTCGCAAGCCCTATCCACCAAACAGACATTTTTTTGACAGATAGAAATATACGTGCCTAAAAGAACGCGTAAACGATGGCACTACAAAAATCAAAATCAAACATCACTTTACAAGTTTAACGGCACTGCTGTTTAGAGAAAAGGAAAGAAAAGTATTGTCTACTCAGCATAAAAACTTAAGTGTATTTTTCTTACAACAAGCAAACGAGCATAAGAGAAAAAAACTTCGAGTTTGAAAATAAAAAAAAATGTTTTTGAAATAAATAACCCATACATATTTCAATACACCTGTCGACATTTTAATGTTCATGTGTAGCATACACTGTTGTTGCTACTGCACATATCAAATTAATAATCTAATCCACTATTTTTATCTACATTTCCGATAGTTACTGTATAACTGGGTTAGAAAATATATAGCTCGCCTATATATACCTAGCTCGGCATTATCACTTATCGAGAAGTCCTTCCTTTCAGGGTAACCAACAGTCATCCAGTTGATTAAATAAATTATTTTGCTAATATTTTCTAAATAAACCAAAAAAAACATACCTTTGATTGTTTTATGTCTGGTTTATCCCATGTTACTGTTAATAAATTCCAATCCATATCAAACAAAAGTTTTCACTGTAATGATAGCTATATATCCAAAACTGACTACCGGACCGAACTCTCAGTGTAATGTGAGGGCTTGCCGTTAGAGTCTACGCGAGTATACCGGATCCTTGCGCATGCGTTGTAAATGAACATGGCGACGTCCGTGTTTCGGAGGCAGGTGCTGCTGTGTTGCAGGCATTCAAGAACAAATTCGAGACAATTTACAAGACAAGTAAACATTAAAAAGGTCTTAACGCCCTCGACAGCTATCGGGGCAACGATAACTGGTGTATTAGCGTGGAAAACATGGCATACTAGACAAGAATCGTCAGAAATCTTACCAGTTGTGACGGCCAAATCTGAGGTTTGTATTTCAATTTCTGTCCTTGGGGGAATTTCTTAGCTTCTGCTCAGTAGTCCGTGATTATTTAGAGAAAGCACAAGTATTAGTTCATTCAGCACTATGTTTAAGAGTTTTGGGAGAAATTCCGTGATGTGGTATCTTTAAATAGATGGTGTGGGCGGGGCTATCATAACCAGGTTTTGACATGTTGAATATGAGTGAAAACTTGACTGCTGATGTTGCTGGATTTTGAGGAGAAACAATTTTGTTCGGTTCAGTAATTTTAACTGTGTTTTTACGGTGGGAATGTTATTGGTTTTGAAAAGTGGCTGGTTCCCGAAGGCGAGAGGTCCTTGGCTAACTAAACAACTCCGCTATCAAAACATTGCTTGACAGTTTACCTGTGTTGGAGTAGGGGAGATAACTTGGGTTGACATAAGGAAGCGACTAAAGAGATGACTAAAGAGAATGATTGGAAGGGATTAAATATATATATATATATATACATATATTTCGTAATAAACCTGAAGTAGAGCTGTAGATGCATGACATATATATCATTTACTTCCAGTAATTATTAATATTTAATGTAACAAATGGTTATTTAATTAATAGTAAATATTCTGGTTATATATATATTTATGATACCATGAAAGTGATAGTTTACCTTACATTATTATGCAAATTAATAAATAAGTTGTTCAAAAATTATTGAATGTTCTTTGTCAGATCTATGCAAGACCAAAGTATGAAGACTTGGTATAAGTACTACCCGGGACTGTAATATTTGTTTGTTGGGATTTTTTGTTTTGTCATGATTGTAGATAGACCTATTTCATGAATTGGACTAGAAAGACTGATGTGTATTATTCAAGTATTGTGTAAATAAATATGGGTCCAAGTTTAAACATGTCAACCTGGCACTACCAGACAAACCCTGTTGAGTTTATCTTCATGATGTTCTCCAGTGTGCTAATCCTTATCATGGCTAAATCTGGTGTGGGCACAATAAACCATTGTCATCCCTTATCTATTATTCTGTCCTCGGATACAATGTTACAGGTATACAAGACCTACTTCGAAGCAGTTAACTTGGTCACGGCACAATTTCTTGTTTTTAATTTTTAGTCGTTTTTCATAGTATAAATGTAATATCTAGAATTAAAAGTAAAGCTTGAACAAAGTCATAATATTTATTAAAAATATTTGAATTTCAAATTTTATCATCTATTGTGAAAGAAAAATAAGCAATTGGACATTTTTGTTAAAACATAATTTCATTCTTATCTTAATTTTTAAAAAAATTAAATTTTTCTTCATATGAAGTTAAAATGGCGTTTCCAACAGATTCATTTGAAACTGTTTTCTTGTGTATATATATTTTAATTGTCCATTAGTTGATAACATCATTACTGAATAACTAAACCAATATCACTTTAAGTAGTATTTTTGATACTGAGACTGACTGCCAATTCCATATTTAAAAAACAAATTCTCCCAGAAATTTTGGAGAATATTCTTTCCATCTAATTATATTTGATTCACTTGTTTATTTTTTTTCAAAGAATTTGACTCACTTTTCTTAAAAAAGATATATTTGACATGTTTTATCCATCATACAAATACATCTTTATATGATTAGATTCAGAAATCTCAAATATTTCATAACATGCGTTAAATTGTGATGTTAAACATGAGGAGAGAAAACATTATGTTAGGTATAAGTCTTAACCTAAACAATGGTGATGATCTATATTGATGACACACGAAGATGATTGTTTAAATATTATTCAAGTCATGTATACATTATGGGTACAATGTACAGAGTCTAGAATGCCCATCAGCTATATATAATGATATGTGTTTAACTTGAATAAAGATTCTCATCTTCCATATCTGTCATCAATGTGGAATGTTGCTTGTATATATTAAAGATTAATAATCAGCTCTGGAGAGATGAAAGAGACATATCCAACACACTTATATGTTGAGTGGGTGCTTTGTACACTATGAAGGAACCTTCATGTAACATTATAAGGAGAATTGGGCCCTTAGGTATCTTTTAAAAGTCCCTATAGGGGAAGTTGTCAAAAAGAATAATGATGTTTTTTGATGAAAAGACTTCTACATATAGAAATATTAAGATAGTACTCAATTGAAATGGTTGTAGTAGCAAGTATGATGTCAGTTTATTTGGTAGTGAAATGAATTCCCCTCTAGTATCACAATTGATTTAATCATGAACAGCAGTAGAGTAAGAGACATCATATACCATATTTTGTCATGTATTCACTCAACATTGTCCACCGAAAGAAAAAGCAAAGTTTGTCAAGAACAGTATTAAGTTACACAACTCAAAATTAGATTGTTTTCAAATTTCAAAAGACGAACATGTCTTCAGACTTGTGAGATTGACCAACAGATTTTCATTTTAGATAAACTTTGAAAGTTACATGTAGATATTATTTGACAAGTATTTCAATGTCCTGTTTGTAATAAGATTTATAAAAAAATGCTGTTGGAATGAGCTTGGTTTTGTTAAGAGGAGACGGCAAATTTTTTTGCTATTGTGATAAAATTTGATTGTATTATGCTTTGATAACAAAAGTTACTCTTTTAGTCTCTTTCATATATATTTGTTAAACAAACAAGTCTGTAGCTTGGTCCATATATCATTATCATTCAATCAGTTTGGAGACATAAAACAAAATATTATCTCTTCACACCTGACTGAAATCCAGGTAAATAACAGATGTTATGATTTCTACAGTCAGTTGACCTGTACAGGTGAAATTTGTCTTTTGTTATCAGGAGACCTTTCTTTATTCTGATTAATTTGACCTAGATAATTAGCTTGTTACCTGTTGGTGGTGTTATACCTTATTACAAGAACTGGTATTTTTCTTTGTCCCAATCTTGTACAACTTGAATTTTTATAATAAATATTACGAGTAATTTAGATTGCAGGATTTTTTTTTGTAAGTTGCTATTTTCCTTACACTTGTGTTGAAAACAGTTTTTTTGCAATCTTTGATAATTATCTTTGAAAAATTATCAGATTTTCATCTTTTAAGGTGTTCACTTTTATTAATGAAACGATATACTTATTTGGGGACATTTGAAAAGGTAGAAACTGAATCATTGATGGATTAATAACAAGATAGCTTATAGAAAGGCAGAATGTCATCAGTATGATAATTACCCCTGTAGAATATTGTACACATTCATTGCAGCTTGTAAAAAATGACGTTTTGATGAAAAAATGTGAAAAAAACCTTCACTTTTATGATTACAAGGCCAGGGGCTATTGTATTTCTACTAAGGAACTTGGAAAAAGTGTGAAACATTCCATGGAGTTGATAAATGTCCACATGTTTTAGAGTATATACATTGTGACATTCGACCTGTTTGCTCAGGTAATGACATTAGCTAGAACAGACAAGGAACTTGCTCATCAAAATGTTTGCACAGTTGAGTGAAATTTTAAAGATTTACAAAGGTTAGAGAGATTAGGATATGTTTTTGCTGTGTGTGTTCCAATCTTGTGGTACTTAGGTATACAGACAACAAGTATTACTCTAATGATGTTTAAACAATAAAGAATGTGGCACATTCTTTCACGAGATTTAACAAGTTAGATATTGCTTGAAATGACTTCAGTTACCAAAAATTCTACATTTGATATTGAAATTATGATTATAAACAACATAGTTTTGAAATTGGTGACAGGGAGATTTTTGATATTACAAACATTTATCATTTGAAACTTTTCCTATTGATAAAAATTGTTGACTTAGCATGTGATGTTGGAGATGAACATTTGTCTACCAACACAATGAGTGCACCTATATTATGATATTGCTGATTCAAACTCTAGGCATTCAAATTAAATCTAAAGCTGGCTGGCAGGGCTGATACATCCGACCGGAAAACATTGCCATGTTAAAGCATATAAACTGAGGTTAAAAGATACCCAATATATCTTTACTATTAAACAACTCAAACTTACAAGCCTTTTAAATGGTGTTAAATATTATTCATGACTATCGGATTAAATGATATTTTATTTTTAAATATATAATTATTTTCCCGAGGCAGGTTCCAGCAAATCAGTTTTGCCTATCAATAGCTTATATACAAGAACTGGTAGCTGATATATATTTCATTTCACAACAAAATCAATTTGATTGTATATACTGGTTTACTGACGAAGCAAATTTTGTGTGTATGAAGAACATTGTATTACGAATCCCACTTCTTTTATAGTGTTTCAGCACATGATTAGATTGCATGCAAAAATGTCTTTACGGATAAATGAATTTAACATTATGCATGACATAGGGGAATTAGTACCGGTAAGAGGTTGTTTAACGTGCTTGTTCTAAATCTTAATGTTTTATAATTTTTTTGTTGGTACCACTGATGGATTTTGAATGAAAAGTTTCACACGGGATTACGTTGTAGACCAACTGTAAAGCATTAGCTTGTATAAATAGCTGATTATGTTAAATTTTAATTTATTTATGATTAGTTTCTGTGATTTATCTTTGTTTTCATTAGAAATTAGAAAAAAATATATAGCTATGCTGTGAAAATAGGAGGTTCCATGAAAATTGGAGGTGTGTTACAGGATTGCTTTCATGGTTTGTTTCCACAGGAATCTAGTAGCATAGATTAGCTTGTGCGTGGTGTCTTTAAGTAAGATGCTTCACCTCAATTTTAATAGAATGTTGTTCAGTGATTTTGCCACATTTCAATGTTATGTTGTTATCCATCTATTGAAATACTATCATGACAAAAAAAAAAAAAAAGTGGAGAAGTCCTCAACATCATTATTCTGTACACAGATACCCTTGAATAAGTAAAAGAATAATTAAGATCTGGTGTTCAGGAAGGGTAAGCATCTTCTGCTTTATTAACTATACCCACCATGTAATTAATCTAGAGGTGAATCCAAGTTAGTTATACCTCATTCTCCAAATAACCAGGATTATATTAACAAGCTCATCAGATCATAATGGCTGCCTTGAAACTTTCTATTTATGTAGTTTTTGTCAATCTGCATGTCTCAGAACAACACCGTATTGTAATCTTCAGCAGCTGTATGGAATTGGTATATAAGGTAAAGAAATCTCTTTGGAATATTGAATCAGCTTTCACATGGGGAGGTGATGTAGAAATGTGACATATATACTATCTCAATGTCATAATGTCGTGTCATAATCAGGTCTTTGTTGTAATAGCTATTATGACGTTTGTCTGCACTGTAACATCACATGACAACCTTCTGTTCTTGTGCTACTAACACCTGTACAAATGTCTAGATTTGATGTGTTTGAAATACCACAATGGTTTTTACAGGGTCAAGATGAACGTAAAGATTCCCGAATTCCCCACACGTACAGAGAGGTACGATTCAGACAGTTTGCCTCAGTGGAATACAAAGGTGTTACTTACATGACACCCCAAGACTTCCTGGAATCTGTCACCGAAGAAATGCCAAGACGTAAGTTAATATGCATGTAACTACATGTGTATGTGATGGACATCTTTGCTTTTCATAATCATAATTGTCCTGATGAAATTGCACTCTGATCTTTTGTTCAAAGAACTTCAACTGTTATTAATTAAATTGTTGAGAAGTTTTACAGATTAAGATTTTTCCTTTAATTAGTTAACTTAAGTTGAAGAATTTCCTTATGATAAGTATTGAAACAGAGGTATCAGACTATTAAACGTTGTACAGGATAGGGGTCCTGTTGTTGTTTTTATATGTGCACCCTACAAGGACTTCTGAGAAATGGCCACTATACTGTGGCTTGAGTGCTTGGTTTTACACATAGATATTGTCAAGAGTTTATACTCTTGGATCTCAATAAATTTAGTGATAAAAGTATGTGTGTGGGAATGACACTTAATATTTATGAAACTGTTTAAAACTTGTGTTTGATATTTTTACTGACTAGAATAAGATTATAAAATGTAATTGTATGTAGATGTGTAAGACAGGTTTTGATGTCGATGTTTATGTAGTTGTTATGCTTGGTAAGATTTTCTTACCTTAATCATGAAACTAAACCTTGAATCATTAAAAAAAAAAATCAGCTGTCATCATTGAGTTTATAATGAAATTGAAATAGATTCAAAGAAGAATAATTTTCAAATTTGAAATAAGAATGTTTCAGAAGGCGTGTGTAATATATGTTGTTTAGAAAATAATGTTCAGTCATGTTTTGTTTACTATGTATTTACTATTTTAAGTCCATGCTGTTGTAAATGTAACTGTGTCTTGTACCTTATAATATATTAAAGTCAGTTGCATGAATATATAAAGGGACATGACAAAAAATCCTCCCCCTGTTCAGGTTTTTGAAATCCATGCCACATCTAGTTTTGTGCATGCTTGTTCGTATACGACACTCTTTCTCCCTAAAATGTCACAGTGAAATAAACATGGTGGGATCAAGAATCACTTAGCAGCTTCAAAGCTTCAGTGATTTTTGTGGGTATTTGTCATGGGTTAGGTTTCATTTGTTGTCAAACGAAAATTTCAGTGATGTGGAAAACTGCATATTGTTCTGTATCAGCATAAACACTCTGTAATCTGTCACAATCTCAGAAAAATTCAGGTGAACAAAGACATTGTGGTTGGGACGTTCAGCTGATAGTTTTTGTACTACAGATTTTAAGCACAAAGACAGACTTGTAACATGTCACAAGGAAAAACGATAAGCTTTGGATGCTAACGTTGATAGATAAATGGTATTTGTTTAAAAAGTACAGTAAAAAATTTGGTAATGACCAATATCAACGGGTGTTCATGTTTCACATGAAACTTTTATGAATGAACTTTTGTGTGTAACACGGAGGCCTACTCCTGGACATACAGCCCTGTTTGATAGCTTAGTATTATGTAGTAAAAAGACATTTAAATCTTCAAAAATCCTTGACTTCTTTTTATATGTCATCTGTTTGAAACTTGTGATTCTGGTGCGTTAAATCTTATTGCTGTGAGAACTGTACTTGTGTGGCAGTTCATATTTCAAATGTGTTGTTTTCTGTAAAATCTTTTTTGGGACATCATCGTTTGATTATTTCTTTGTTTAAATCCATTAAGCACATAACTAAGATTTTTGTATGTTGACATAACAGGCTCAATAGGTGTTTAAGTGGCATGGCTATCTGTTGTCCATCTCGATGGAAATTTATCACAGTCTTCTCATCTATTCTCTCAGACTGTTATATGATCAAGATCCCCTGATTATCTGTTTTTGAAAACAAGAGGTGACTTAATTATTCGTGGGATAAAATGGATTGGGTAATGTTGGGGTTTGTCTTTCAATCTGTGTCTGATTTTGGTATCGTGCTTTCCTGTTTGTAATTGTTCCCAGGATCAAGACATGATCTTCATGGAGTGTGTGAACGATGGAAATCAGGAAGATTGAAAGACAAAGAATTGTGTCATGAAAATAAAAAACTCCTTAGAATTGAAGGAGGATAATGCAAGCATTTTTCAAGGTCAAACAATATCACCTGAGATATTTATCAAATTCAAAATCACCTAAGCATGTAACAGTGGTTTTTTAAAAGAAAAAAATATGAAGGAAAAAAACATACTCATAAAATGTCTTGAAATGACAGAAAAAGATTATTTTGGATCCTGATCAACAACAGATTCTGCCTCCAATATATTTAGCCCTCAGCCAGGTAAAGCCAACATATATCAGTATCATAGATTTAATTGTGCCTAATTATGCAGTGTTAATCTGTAAACTTTCCATGTGACTAATTGTTTCCATGAATGTTTACACTAAGTCTTAACTATGTGATAAACAGAATCTTCTATTTTTCCTTTGATTGCATCATTGATTTTTTTTTATCTCTAGCAAATTCTCACCTGAAATGTGATTCTCTACATGTAATTAAATATATAAATCTAAATACAAATTTCTTGATCTCTTCAAAATAACATGTTAGCCTTTAACTACATATGGGTGACCTATTGCTTTCTGTTGGTGGCTAACTACATATGGGTGACCTTTTGCTTTCTGTGGGTGGCTAACTACATATGGGTGACCTATTGCTTTCTGTTGGTGGCTAACTACATATGGGTGACCTATTGCTTTCTGTGGGTGGCTAACTACATATGGGTGACCTTTTGCTTTCTGTGGGTGGCTAACTACATATGGGTGACCTATTGCTTTCTGTTGGTGGCTAACTACATATGGGTGACCTATTGCTTTCTGTGGGTGGCTAACTACATATGGGTGACCTTTTGCTTTCTGTGGGTGGCTAACTACATATGGGTGACCTATTGCTTTCTGTGGGTGGCTAACTACATATGGGTGACCTATTGCTTTCTGTTGGTGGCTAACTACATATGGGTGACCTATTGCTTTCTGTGGGTGGCTAACTACAAATGGGTGACCTATTGCTTTCTGTGGGTGGCTAACTACATATGGGTGACCTATTGCTTTCTGTTGGTGGCTACCTACATATGGGTGACCTAATACTTTCTGTGGGTGGCTAACTACATATGGGTGACCTAATACTTTCTGTGGGTGGCTAACTACATATGGGTGACCTATTGCTTTCTGTGGGTGGCTAACTACATATGGGTGACCTATTGCTTTCTGTGGGTGGCTAACTACAAATGGGTGACCTATTGCTTTCTGTGGGTGGCTAACTACATATGGGTGACCTATTGCTTTCTGTGGGTGGCTAACTACAAATGGGTGACCTATTGCTTTCTGTGGGTGGCTAACTACATATGGGTGACCTAATACTTTCTGTGGGTGGCTAACTACATATGGGTGACCTATTGCTTTCTGTGGGTGGCTAACTACATATGGGTGACCTGTTGCTTTCTGTGAGTAGCTAGGTACATATGGGTGACCTATTGCTTTCTGTGGGTGTCTAACTACATATGGGTGACCTATTGCTGTCTGTGGGTGTCTAACTACATATGGGTGACCTATTGCTTTCCTTGGGTGGCTAATCAAACTAGGGTGCGGATCACTGTTAAAAATTGGACCACTCACTTTTAAGTATATAGATTTATACCACAGTGAAAACAACATGCTGATATTGCTGATCTGGTGTAGGTAACCTTGAATTACAATGACGCCCACATCTAAATCTAGCTTGTGGTTTTGGTGACAAGAGTCTTTACAAACTACTGATATACGCTACACCTGCATGTGTCTACCTGAAAATTTTGAAAAACAACTTGTGTATGTTATATAATAATTATGTACACATATTTCACAAGGTACTGACAAACTAATTATACTGAGAATTCTAAAGGTTTGCATAATGTCCTTCCTTCTCAGGACAGTCCTGTGTATGCATATATATATATATATATATATATATATGTATATACATGACTGTCAGTTTCAATTGAAGAGGATTGTAGACAAAACAATGCATGTATACATGAGAATGGTAAATTGTATCCGGTTTTAAAGTGATAATTGAGATACATGTTGACTTATTGTATCTAAAAATTAATATTTGATATTTGTAAAGTCTCAATTTTTGGTGATTTGTTACAGCTTGTTATTGCCCCTCTGGTATAATGTGAATGTTGTCTGGGTGTGGGTCATCATGAAAAGTATGATGACCAGTATCTATTGGGATAGTGAAATGGTGTATAAGGAATTTGGTTGTCATGCTCCACTTTAAACAGAGTGATGGCCCTTGGATTTAGTGTTTTGGATCAATTTTACTCTGACAACTCAGAGTATTTTATAATAGACAACACCTCATAAAATGGGTTTGATGTTCAAATTTAAACAGAGTTATGACCCTTGGCTGCTTTTTGTTCAGTTAATGTTGAATTGGGACGAAATACTAGATAATACTACAGAGTTGATGGAACAACCTTTATATATATATATATGTATATATATATATTATATATACACTGCCTAAGTGTTTATGGAGTAAAATTTAGAATTGTTAAAAAAAAAAAAGAAAAAAGCTTACCTACAGTAACAGGGGATAGAGCTAATAGAAGAATATAATATTAGACGACAAGATTTCAGACAGAAAAGGAAGTTTAATTCTGCTCAACAAACTTGGTATGTTTACCTGTGTGGGGCTGGTATTCAAGTACTTATATGCATATGTACATGTGTTCATGGAAACTAAGGGTAGGGCTGAACCATTGGCAATATTCCAGCCGACAACAGATGTATTATAAGCTTTGACAAGTCCGTAACACTATAATGGATTTCACATGGAAATGTAATAAATTAAATACCTGTCCTATATTCTGTTCATTCATTCTTTTAATCTTGTCAGCCAGGATCTTGTTTCAAAATATTTTTTGAAAATTATTCTTAAATGAAATTTTAAGATTTTGTAAGTGAAATAATGATTATTATTCAACTGATGTGAAATACTTCGGGTTTGTTCAAAGGTACTTTTAATCTCACCATGATGAAATCCCATTTATCTAAGCATTGTGTATCATTTTCCTGTAATAAGCCAACCTATCTG